ACATATATTACATTTCTATTTGACAGAGACATGCTTTTGTTAAATACTATAGATGTCTGTTTATTCAGCCTTTTCGCATTCTAGAATGTTGCATGTGATCTCATCGTCTGCTCATCCTCAATGATCTAAGAATTAGAAAATAAAATGTATTAGGTTGAAGATAGGAAATTGCCAACCTTTGATCATTTTTAACATATAAATATGGTAATTTCATACCTTCAACCTAATAATTCCAAAGTGTACACAATTTGAATGTTTTCCTTAAAAATCTAAATTAAATGTGATAAAAATTGATTTTTTCACAAAAGTTGTTTTTCTCCTATTCAAATTTTCTATTAAATTCAAAAGTGAAAATATAAATTATAAACCAAAACCAAACCCATTGCCATCAAGTCAATTCTAACTCACAGCGACCCTAGAGGACAGAGTAGAACTGCCCCACAGGTTTTCCAAGGCTGCAAATCTTTAGGAAGCAGACTGCCTCGTCTTTATCCCAATGAGCAGCTGGTGAGTTCAAATGGTAGATCTTTTAGTTAACAGCTGAATGCCTTAACCACTGCACCAACAGAGTGTATCTGGTGGGTTTGAACCACCAGCCTTCTGGTTAGCAGTCAAATGCCTGAGGCACTACGTCACCAGAGCTCCTTATATAAATTATAGTTAACAAAATTTTAATTAAAATGAATAAATTTATTAAAGTATCAATGGTGGAAATTTAAATTAACTTTGAGAATTTAATTACCATATTTTTCACAAATATGTGCCCATGTAAATGCGCACATGTATATAATGGGCAGAAATGACAAAATCATATACAAATGTCTGGCATAACGTAGCCATGCATGCACTGCACATATGACATTTCCAGAAGTGAATTGTGCCTTCGTTCACCCTAACTCAATAGTCTGAAAATGTTACTTTTGATAGTATTTGTACAATAAATGCATAAGCCATGGTCAAGAAATTGTGGATCAAATTTGATAATGCTTTTGTAAGTGGAAGAGAAATAACCAAAACTGCATATGCTCTGGGGCAGTTTCTACTAGGCCTGAAAGTGGTGACTTGTAAGTGATCTGCACCTAGGTATGTCATGCCAGAGGTGGGTGGAGGGTTGAGTGGAGGGTCAGGCAGTGGGCTGTGCATGGGCTGCTAGAGCCTGAGCACAGGCTGGTCCTGTGCCTGTCCCACGTGCAGGTGGGCAGCAAGATGGTGAGGATGTGGGTATACACTGCCCCAGACTCATGGGGCCCCAGGTGACCAGTCAGACCCATCTTGTCTGAGTGAGGGATGATTGATTCCTTTGCACCTATTGCTTCTGCAGGGGTGGAAGATTCAAATGACCTGAGTCAGGCTGCTGGAGTTGTTGTTGTTATGTGCTGTCGAGTCGCCCCCGACTCATAGCGACCCCTCCTTGGGTTTCCGAGGCAGTATCACTACGGAAGTAGGATTGCCCAACCTTCCTTCCGAGGAATGGCTGGTGGGTTTGAACCGCCAGCCTTCTGGTTAGCAGTCAAGTAGTGGTAGCCACTACGCTACCAGAGCTCCCTGCTGGAGAGTGGGATGGAATGTGCACCACTGTGGTGTGCTGGCCTTGGCAGCCTGAGTGGTGGTGGGGGTGGGGCACATAGAGGGTAAGAATTCTACCACTTAACTACCACTGCCCTCTTGGCACACATTGTTCTTGGATGCTCTTGATTCCAACTCAGAGCAACCCCATGTCACAGAACTACTCTAGTAGCCAAGCACTTAACCATTGTACCACGAGGACTCCTTTCGCATGCATTAGATTTTAAATATTAGTCCCTACTCTTCCTCTTAAAACTAGGGACCTGAGGTACATAGTTACACCAGTGAGACTATGATGTTCCCAACAGCAGGGAGACTTTCCTGTTTTTGGTCCAATGCAGATCAATTTGTACAGATGTAACTTCCCCAGTGAGAAAGCAAGATACGTTATTAATATAGGGTATACTGACCTGTTATTTGGCAGTGCCTAAGGGATTTGAGGAAGCTCTGGTAGCGTAGTGCATAAGGCACTTGACTGCTTATCAGAAGGCTGGTGGTTCAAACCCACCAGCCACTCCTTGGAAGGAAGATGGGGCAATCTACTTCCGTAATGATACTGCCTCGGAAATCCAAGGAGGGGTCGCTGTGAGTTGGGTCTGACTCAAGGGCACATAACAACAACAAAGGGATTTGAGGAGCTCTGGTAGCAGAGTGCCTAAGGCACTTGACTGCTAATCAGAAGGCTGGCGGTTCAAACCTACCAGCCACTCCTCGGAAGGAAGGTTGGGCAATCTACTTCTGTAGTGATACTGCCTTGGACACCCAAGGAGGGGTCGCTATGAGTCGAAGATGACTTGACAGCAGTGTTTGGTTTTAGGGCATTTCACTGCTAACCAGAAGCTTGGTGGTTCAAACCCACCAGCCACTCCATGGAAGGAAGATAGGGCAATCTACTTCCATAAAGATTTACCGCCTTGGAAACCCAGTGGGGGTTGCTACAAGTCAGAATTGACTCAATGGCAGTGGGGGACTTGTTATTTAATTATCTTCTTCCCTTGTTTTTGTCTGTTTTCGTAGTCATTAGGTTTAATGCAGCCTTTCACAGAGTGATGAGAATTACAATAGGACCAAGTATCAAGACCAAGATGCTGGTTTCACGAGTTTGGAAGCAATTTTAATGGAGATGGAAATATTTATCAACTCAACACAGGAACCCCCAAAATACAAATCAAAACATCATCTGCAGCTGCAATAGCAAATATGATTTAAGAATTTAACATCATTTGATCACAAGCGTAAGTATAAGTCACCATAAATAAATGTAAATTCATTGTACAAAAGTCCCCAACAACTCTTAATACAAATATGATACATTTGACAGTTTCTGAAACAATTTTTCTTTTTAAAACTTAAGCTTTTTTTTTCCTAGTTCTTTAACACACACACACACACACACACACAAACTAAAAAGGGGGCAGTAATAGTGAGAAGGAAAGAATATTAAACCTGTTCCATGTTCATAAATAAGTGCTGCTGGCAAGTTAGGGAAATGAACTTTCTCTCCTGAAAATAAAGACCTCAGCTTACTAGGATCAAGTCTATTGGGGATGATGTGGTCAAATTTAGGGTCATGGTGGGGGGGTGGGTACAATGCGAATGGGGAGGAATTGTTGTTGCACTGGCACTATCATCATATGAACCATCCAAATTTCCACAAAGCAACATTCAAGCAGGATCTACCAGCTTCCTCTTGGAACCACCTTCCTTCATTATAAATATTTCATCTCATGGCTCAGAGGTAGTGGGAAGACAAGGTTTAGTAGAAGGATTCCTCTATAGCAGTGGGTCTCAAACTTCCATGTGCAGCAGAATAACACAGATACCTTGCGGAAAGCGTAGATTCTCTGGCTCTACCCTAGAGATTCAGAATTAGGATGTATTAGTTGAGGCCCAGACAATCTGTATTTAAGTTCGGTAATCTCAGGACCTCAGGTGGAAACCCCACCCCTTTCTCCCTGGGGGACATGAGTGTGTCACGCAAACTTCTTCCGGGCCCTTCCTTTGCTCCTTCCATGGGGTTAACAAATGACCCATCTACTAGGGGGAGGGTATTATCATTCTTTTTTTCTATTTTCTTTTCCTTTATGGACTGTGAGGAAGTATCAAATGCCATACTATATGTTGTTAAAAGCTCGAGACAACAGATTCTACTTGAAGATTATGTGTTCTGTAATGAGACATTTCCAAAAGACTTCTCTCCATCTAAACAGCTTTCCCAGGAGCTCTGGTACCATAGTGCCTAAGGCACTTGACTGCTAACCAGAAGGATGGTGGTTCAAACCCACCAGCCACTCCACGAAAGGAAGGTTGGGCAATCTACTTCCATAGTGATACCGCCTCAGAAACCCAAGGAGGGGTCACTATGAGTCGGGTCCAACTTGATGGCACATAACAACAACAACAACAACAAACAGCTTCTTCAGGCTGTGGATTTTTGCAGCGGAATTTTGGTTCAATCAGAATCCATACCCCAAACTAAGGAGAATGAAAGGAACAGTAAGTTGACTCTTTCAGCTTCTAGGACAATGAAAGTTTTCTCATTTACTAAAGCAGTTCCCCTTGGTGTTATTTCTGGGCATTAAAAGCTCATTAACTAATATTTATATCCCTTAATTCTCTGTCCCCAAGACATTTCTGGCTCTTATTGAAATACTCCCTTAATATTTTCTTTCTCTGGGGAGTTTATCTTGATGAAGGATTCTGACAAAAAGGAGGTCACTAATTTGGTAGCTGGTTAATGCTGTGGGCAGTGCCATATCTAGCTTGTTCAACATGTATCCCCTATGTCTATCACCCTGCATGGCCTGGTGGCCCCTATGTATTTGCGTAATGAATAAAGAAATGGTGTCACCAGCAAGCTATTGAGATGGTCTAAAAGCTTTCTTCTTTGGGCTCTGGAATTCCTGGCTGTGTTCACAAACATTGCTTCCTTACTGCAGGCCTAACCATCTTCCTATCACCAATTCTTCTCAGAGGGATACAGTTGCAAATGAAATGGAGTTCTCTCAGGACTGTCCTGAGAGAGTTAGGATGTAATTCTTGGAAGTCTATGAAAGGGCAGAGCCAATACCATTGATCTTGATGGCAGTGCCACAGCATCACCTGGTCCAGGAGTAAGTTTGGCAGTGGAATCCCCAGAGCAGAAGGAGATGCCACCCAAGGAAATAGAGGGATGGGAGCCAGAGAGATGAAGAAGCCAGTAAGCTGAGGCATATCCACTGACCCACTGATATCTCTTAGAAAGTCCCTTTCTTTAGTCATTGAGACTTCAGGTTTGGGGTCATACATGGACACTGAGTTAGAGGTTGCCATCTTGGGAGGAGGTCTTGGGAAGAAACCAAGGATTGGGGTGGGGCCATGGGATAGAGAAAGGATGAAGCTGGAAGCATTTAGCACAGCGTGGGGGGGGGGGGGACACGCACTGCCCTGTTTCATTTTTTTTTTCATTTGCACAATGGAAACCACCATGGAGATGTCACGGGAGAACATGCACTGGCCCACCCTTGGGAGTGGTGGGGATGGGCTTGGGGTGGCTCTTGTTTGGTTGTGGTTCATCCCACAGGCTGTCCAGTTAGACCCTACTGTGGCCTGGCCATGGTGTTCTCGCTCCTGCTTCTCCTCCTCCTGCAGGTTGGGGTCCTGCAAGACCTTCTGCTTAGCAGGTGGTGGCCAGGGACTGGTGGATGGGCGGCTGGAAGCAGCGTACATGTTCCACAGTCGAACTGTCTGTCTCCACGGATTTCATATACTTGTTCAGGATGGCAAAAACCTCATTGTTCAAGATCTGGTACTTCCTGATGCGGTCTGCCATCTTCTTCAGGGGCTGCAGGAGGGCAGAGACATGCAGGTGAGTGGTGGGAGAAAGAGGTAGAGCAGGGAAGGGAGAGCAAGAGAAGGTTCAGTGAGGTCAGGGTCCAGGGCTCTGATGCTTCAAGGATCATATCACTCTATTGTTTAAAGGCCTTCAATGGGCTCCCAAATCTCTGGTGATCAAGGGTTAACTTGGGCCATAAAGTCTTTTGCCAAGTGGCTCCTGCTTCTCTCTCCTCTCCGTCTGGCCCCCTTAACCCACGTTTTGTTCCAGCCACATATCTTCATGCCTCTATGCCTTTGCCCTTGCTGTTCCTTCTGTCTGGAATATACTCCCCACCCCTACCACCCCATTTTCTGCCTGGCTATTTGCTGCTGGCCATTCTGGACTTGGTTCAAGCATGGCTTCTGTTGGGAAGCCTTCTCTGACCATCTTGCACCCTGCCCCAGCCTCATTTAGATGGCCTTTCTCTGTGCTCCCATTGCAGCCTTGCTGACCACAGAACTGTACTTATCTTACGCCAGCACATACATTTGGCACTCGATGAATGCTTGTATGAATGGGTAACCAGCACCAGTGGAGTCTGACAGGGTTAGGGACAGTATGTTTCAGGTCTGGAGCCCTGCCTTGGCAGTGGGGTGACCAGATTCATCCCAGTGGGTTATAAGCAAGTGACTCATGGCTTTCCATATCAGATCTCTCAGGCTGTTGTTTCTGTATCTACCTGTGGTATAGAGGTGGCCTCCATAAGCAGTGCACTCTTCTATTTTTTTTTTTTTTTTCCTGATGAAAGGCTGATTGTCAGGCTCTACTACCTCCCAGGCCTCAGCCATGAGCTAGCTTACCACATTCTTAATAATTTCATCCTTCCCGTCCTGCCTCTGTACTTTTAGCAGGTGGTAACAGAAGTCAAACAGGTCGAAGCGACGCTGCTGGCCCAGTAGGACAATGATGGAGCAGCCAGCCCAATTCAAGCCATCTCCGAAACACTGCCTGGGGGTGGGGCACAGGAGAGGAAGCAGCAGAATGAGTGGAAGGTGAGAGAGGGAGGCAAAGAGAGAGAGTGAGAGAACTTCATCTTGGGTTAGTGTGTGGGGCAATTCTCTTAATCTATAAAATGGGTATAAAAGAAATAGTAAGCATGGATTCATTTGTGCCAGCAACTGTGGTTATATTATAAGCCCTTGTAACCACAAAGAGTCCCTGGGTGGTACAAACAGTTAAGGTTCTCGGTTGCTAATCAAAAGGTTGGAGGTTCAAGTCACCCAGAGGCACCTCAGAAGTAAGACTTGGTGATCTACTTCCAAAAAATCAGCCATTGAAAACTCTATGGACCACAGTTCTTCTGTAACACACATGGGGGTCACCATGAGTTGGATGTGACTCAAAGGCAACTGGTTTTTAACCTCAAAGAGGTGTCAATCCATTGCCTCAGTGATGTATGGAAAATCAGGTTTGAAGAAGAGAAAAATATGCAAAAAATAAAAATAAACAAAGAAAAAACAACCAAAAACAGCCCTTGAAATTTATGTGGCTTATTTTTTCAAGCATGTTAAGAAGCTGTCTGGGTTCCATAAAGGAACCAGAGGAACACCTGTGAGGTAATGGGACATCTTCAGACCAGGGCACCAACTGGCCAGTGGAGGCCGAGAGGTCAAGGATGTGGCATGGTGTGTGATGAGCAGCATCTGCTGGCAGGGTAAGGGTGGGGTGGGGTCCTCGTGGCTCTGATAAAGCTCAGCCTGTGGGTCCCCAATTCTCCACAGCAATTTGGAAATTTGGGTGGTGGTGGGATCAGCAGCCCTATGTTGTTTTCTTGTCCTCAAGCAGCAGCTCCCCACCCCAAACTGGGTAGGTTTTCTCCTTCCCCACATCCAACCCTGCTCACATTTCTGGATAAACTCTGACAGCTCAGTGACTCTCAGGGGACAAGGAGGTTGGGGGTGACCCCTCCCTGGGGTACTCACTCTGCTGTGAACTCGTTGGTGCCCACAGGAATGCAGTAGACAAACTGCATGGCGCTCCACAGCCGGTGGAACTCCACGCACTCATCCACATGCATTACGCCGTTGGTGGGTGGTGGGCCTCGCCAGATGGGGTCTTGTAGGTAGCTCCGGATGCGTGTCAGGATGACCTCAAACATAGACAAGCCGCAGCACAGCCGCTCCTTGGTCAGCAGGTCGCCTTCCCGAGCAATGGCGATTTGCTAGAGATGGAAAGACATAGAAAGCTCTATCTCTATCTCAAAACTGTCTCTCACCTCCCATGGGGGATTCCCAAACCCCAGAGCTGCTGCAGCTAGAAATCCTTCACCAGAATCTTTCCCAGAGCAGGACACTGATTTTAAAAACCTGAGTGCAGTGGCAGTGAAGTCTTGTGGTAAGTAAAATCAAAGAGCCATACATAGAGAAATGGTTAAAAAGAAAATGACCTACCCACCTAATAAAATGCTAACTAGACACCAAAAAGATGCAATGAGTGTACTTCAAGTATTACTGTTACTATTATATAATCATTACTCTTGGCTCCTACTGAGTGTGTGGAATATACCAGTCCCTGTTCTAAGCATGTAGCAGGTATTGACGCCATTTTATTTCTCACATCAACCCCAAAAGATAGGTACCATTATTATGCTCTGGTGGCACAGTGCCTAAGACATTTGACTGCTAACCAGAAGTCTGGTTTGAACCACCAGCCACTCCTCAGAAGGAAGACTGGGCAGTCTACTTCTGTAGAGATAACGCCTCAGAAACCCAAGGAGGGGTAGCTATGAGTTGAACTGACTTGATGGCAATGTTTTTTTTTTTTTTTAATTACACTCATTTTACAGATGAAGAAACAGAGGTTCAGAAAGATGACCAGTGAGTAGTTGCAGTGTAGTGAATTACATGGTATGGCTTTTCCAGCCATAGTCTTTCTAACTACCCACTGGATTACTGGCTGGGACCACACAAATACGTGTGAACTTGGCTGAGGAGTTAGTGATAGTTATTTCCTATAATGAGACTGGCAATTAACTCCATGGTGGAAATCGCTGGGAGCAACTGAGTGGCTGCTTTTAAACTCCTGATTGTTAAAGCTATCCACCTGGGATATTTCTTTGTGTGTGTGTGTGTGTGTGTGTATCATAACAATTTTTTTTTTTAAATTGTGTTTGGGTGAAAGTTTACAGAGCAAATTCACTTTCTATACAGTTCACATACACTTTGTCCCATGACATGGACTACAATTTACCATAATGCAACAGCTTCCCTCCTACTTCCTCCCCATACTTAACCTCTTCCCTGTGTCCTTCCCTCCATGCACTCCTGCCCTCTGAGCTGTCTCCCTGTACATACAAAGCCCTTTTATTTTCCCATGATCTCTCCAAGGAGTATATCTATGTAATGTAAATGTTCAACTCATACGCCTGTCTTTTGTTTGGCTGGAAGCCACAGGAATGGGTTTGAATCCAGATCTGAAGGGCAGCTAGGGGCCATAGTCTCAGTGGTGCCATGAGGCTCTATCAGACCAGCAAACCTGGTCTGTTTTTTTTTTTTTAAATGATTTTGAGTTTTGTTCCACATTGTTCTCCCACTCTACCCAGGATCTCTTACATAGATTCCCCTCTGAGTGGTTGACAGTAGTAGCCAGGCACTATCTAGTTCTTCTGGTCTCATAGTCATAGGCTGAGAATCGCATGGTGTACCACTTGCTTCGACTAATTTTCCATGAATCTTTGGTTTTCTTCATTCTTCTTTGCTCTGGATGAGGAGAGACTCATCGTTGCATCTAGATGGCCATTTGTAAGCTTTTAAGATCCCAGTTGCTACTCACCAAAGCAGGATATGGAACAATGTTTTGTGTAGTATGTTATGCCAGTTGAGCTTGATGCCTCCTGTGACTATGGTCTTGAGCCCATAGGTCCAACTACTCGCTCCTTCTGGATGGCTGGCTGTGGCCAAGAAGTGACTGCAACCTTGTCCCTTGTCAGCTCTACTATATACCTGGGAATTCTTACAGAACATACCAATACACTTATAGAAACATTGTCTGCCAACCACCTGGGGTACTTCTGTTGGAGCAATACGAAGTAATGTTTTGGGAAAGTTTGCTCTATCTCAGGTGTGTAGAACTCTGATGTCAGGATTAGTTAGTTTTTTCACTCTGCCAGCCTTAAAATGAACCCTTCTAGAGGCAGAGGGAGAATCTCACTGCCAGCTTGAGAGAGATGCCCAGAGATGCCCAGCTGAGAGAGACATCCAACTGAGAGAGATGCTGGCTGAGAGAGATACCCAGCTGAGAGACAGGAGCAGTGGAACGAAGAGGTATGAGACAAAGCATCAGGCTTACCTGCAGAGGCCAGGCCAAGAGGCCAAAGGCCAGAAAGGTGTGTTTAAAGACACAGCAGAGGGGAGACTATCCTGATTGAAGAACTGTATCCTGAGTGTGTTCCTGAATTGGAATTGTAGTCTGTTGCTTCCCTAATAAACCCCATAATCTTTGAGTTCTGTGTGGCCACTGCAGCAAATTATTGAACCTGGCAGAGATGTGGTAGATGCTGCGGGAAGGATGGTTGGTATCAAGGTTGGTAAGAGGGCTGCAGGGTGGCAGCATGTCTAGCTTCATAGGAATAGGCCTTGGGCTGCTGATGGTGATTCTGTCTTTCTCTTATGTAGCTAGAAGAAGTCAAAAGATGCCGCTTCCTTGTCCCTTTAGCAGGGGTAATACTAAGGTTTGAATCCCAGCAATCTAGACTTATGGGTTAAATTACACAGTAACTAGAGCAAACTACAGAATAGGATTTATAAAATGATCCTAGTTAAAAACAAAACAAAAAACAACAAACAATCCCACAAAGAAACAAAACTATATGTGGTGTGTACGTAGAAACATTATCAAAACCCACTGCCATTGAGTCAGATCTGACTCATAGAGACCTCTCCTTGGGTTTCTGAGGCAGTATCACTACGGAAGTAGATTGCCCAACCACCAGCCTTCTGGTTAGCAGTCAAATGCCCTAGCCAATATGCTGCCAGAGCTCCTAGAAACATTATGGAAAGATTAAAATCAGTTGCAGGAACAGATGGGCTTGGAAACTGGAAAGGGGGATTCACTTGTCACTTCAAATATTTCTGTGAAATTAAATGTGGTATAAATGAGTATATGTTATCCTTTTAATATTTGCCACTCATTTTGCAGAATCATTTCCTCCAACTAGAAGTCTTTCTTTGGTAATTGCAAACGATCTCTGACAACAATTTAAACTAGGTCCTGGTTACAGTACATCTAATAATGCTAGACAAGCATATCAAAGCATATTACCATACCATCACGAATTAAAATATTTAGGATAAAGGTCCCGAAAGGCACCTGCAAAGTTAGATAGATAAGAACTTCTAAGACCAAAGTAAAGGCTCCATATCTAGGGACAAAGCTAAAGAGACCTGGCTTCTGAGATGGACAGATCCACAGGGTACTCAGGAGATCAGCTTTCGAGGGTGTTTCCCCGAAGAGCCCCTATAGTATAGCTGGGAGGTGAATGATGGCCACCTGTAAACTGGAGATCCTTGGGAAGAGGGCCAGAACCAGTTGCCATAGATTCCGACCCATAGTGACCACATGTGTGTCAGAATAGAATAGTGTTCCATGGGGTTTTCTTGGCTATAATCTTTACAGAAGCAGATTGCCAGGAATTTCAAGGCTGCGACCTTTTCAAAGTAGATCACTAGGTCTTTCTTTAGAAATACTTCTGGGTAGACTTGAACCTCCAATTTTTTGGTTAGCAGCTGAAAACATTAACTGTTTGTACCACCAAGGGACACCACTTAAGCTCTAATTCACGAAGTGAAACCAATCAGGAAACACCAGTACTGGAGCCTGCCATGAACGTGGGCCATGAGTGTGGTTGTCACGACGACTATAAACTGAAAGAAGTCTAGAAAAAAAATGTGAAATGGAGAAGCTTGACAATGTTTATCTCAAATGTGGAATGGGAACCCTAGTTCACAGTGACTCATCTTGATTCCCTAGGCAGTGAGAGCTTGTTAGCTGAGGAGGGAACAATCAGGTTACCACAGCTGGCTAGAAATCTCTTTTAAAAGATCCCAAACTTTATGTTTGGTTCTTTTCTAACCCAGCAACTACCTACACTGGTACTTGGACTTTGAAAAGGCTCTTCACTTCAGGAAGACAGTGCCTGGCACAAGGGAGATGGTCAGTAAATCAATAAAACCTGTTACTATCAAGTTGATTCTGACACACGGCCACCCACGTGTGACAGAGCAGAATGGTGTTCCTTAGGTTTTCTTGGCTGTAATCGTAACAGAAACAAATTGTCAGGGCTTTCTTTCACAACTAGGGGATTTGAATCACTAACTTTTTGGTTAGTAATCAAGTGCAAACTGTCTAATCAAGTCTGTGCTACTTGAGGACTTTAATAAATTAATAAATGATCTATATTTGTTCTTAAGTCATAAATATTCTCATTCTTAAGTCAATAGAGTTCTGGTCTATGAATTCATCTCCCATGTGTTTGGTTAGTCTGAATTAGTCCTCAGAGCATTACAATCCTGGGGGCAACTAGAAAAATTAGCAATTAAGTTTGCAAACCTGCAGAAAGACCCTGAACTCTGGTGAGCCCAGCCACTACAGCCAACTAAAGGGGCCTTGAATGGCATGGTTAGGGCCTTTTCCCCTTTCCTTTGAAAAAGTGTTTCCTCTCACAGTACGTTTTTTTTTTTTTTTTTTCCTTCCTCCCTGACCTATAAGATATAAAGGACCTCTGATGGCATAGTGCCTAAGGCATTTGACTATTAACCAGAAGACTGGTGGTTCAAACCCACCATACACTCCTCAGAAGGATTGGGCAACCTACTTCCGTAGAGATACAGCCTTGGAAATCCAAGGAGGGATTGCTATGAGTCAGGATAGACTTTATGGCCATGAGTTTGGTTTTTATAAGCTATAAATGTAATACATAGTCATTGGATAAAATGTGGAAATTAAAAACTAACAAAGGTTACTGGAAAGAAAATAAAAATCTTCCATAAATCCAGTTACCCAGAAATAAGCTTTCTAAAAATACTGCTATATGATTTGTTTGTGTTTACTTATATGAGTGTAAATGCATATGTATTTAACAAAATTTGGATATTATCTAGATTGTTTTTTTCTTTTAATATATCAATAACTAAAAAACATTTTTTGAATGTTATATTGGGAGTT